GCGCGCGCGCTCCCTTCGGGCCGGGCGGGGGAGCGAGCGAGCGAGGGGATATTCCTCTCCCGGCTTGAGTCAGACGCGGGCGGATCCGTCCTCCCCCGTCCCCCCTCCCGGGAGACGGGAACTTACTTCATTTCCCTGGGGCAGGTTCGCCCACGTTGCCCACCCTGCCCCCCCACCCCGGCTTCCGCAGCGCTCCCGCCCGGCGGGGGTCGGACCCGGACCTTGCCGACACCCCCTCTTTCGGGGAAAAGGAGGCCGCAGACACCTGGGGGGGCGGGCGGAGGCGGACGGACCGGGGAGGGGGCGGGGGCTCCCTTGGCAGCCGCCGGATCGTTGTCCAACACGTGAGACTCATGTGATGGCAGCCGGGGAGGGCGGGCAGGTCCGCCTTCCCTCCCCGGCCGCGGCCAGACGTGCCTGGAGTCACAGGGTTGAACACGTAGCTCCCACCCACCCACTCGCTCCCATTTAACCCAGCCCCGCAGCCTCTTCTCCATTACTCCCCGGCTCGCCCCCCCTTCCGCCCCCCTCCCGCTCCACGCCCGCCCTCCCCGCCCGCCCGCCCCACTCCTCATTCACTTGGCTCGCACGGTGCAGACGGCGCTCGCAGCACACACCGCCGGTCCGTGCGCCGAGCCGGAGGCCGCGGGGACCCTCGGGCCATGCACGCCCCGCACTGAAGCGATCGCCGCCGAGCCAGCCGCCAGCTCCGGGCACAAAGGAAAAATAAAAGCCCCCCTGCGCCTTTCGGGGAGCTCCGCACTCCCGCGGGACCCTCAGCCGAGAGACTCCCCCTCCCTCCCCGCACCCCGAACACCCCTTTCCGGGTCGCCGGGCAGCGAGCAGCGGCAGCAGCGCGCGGTGGCCCCGGTTCGCCGCGCCATGGAGCGGATCCCCAGCGCGCAGCCACCCCCGGCCTGCCTGCCCAAAACGCCGGTGCTGGAGCCCGGAGACCTGCCCGGGTGAGTTGGCAGCCGGGGGGAGGGGAGGGGTCCCCCTGCCGAGAGCCTGCAACCCGGCGGGGGTGTGAACCGGAGGACGCATCCCCGCGGGTTGGGGTGCGGAAGTGGGGGGTGTCCTGGTCCGAGCCGGGCGCCCCGCAGCCCGTGCGCACGCACTCACGACCCTCCTCGGCCCCCTTTCCTTGCAGGATGGACTTCGCCCACATGTACCAAGTGTACAAGTCGCGGCGGGGCCTGAAGCGGAGCGAGGACAGCAAGGTAAGCGCACCCCCTACCCCCTCAAGGGGGGGACCCCCGCGCCCCAGCCCCTCGCGCGCACTCCGTTGTCAAGAAAAAGTTTGCTCGCTCCGCGGTCGGCGAGGGGCTGGGGGCGTGGGGGGAGCGGCCGTGCCCGGGGGGTCTCCGTGCCACCGGGGAGCAACTCGGAACACGGGGCCAGGCAGGGGTGGGTGCTGATCGCGGCTCTGCTCTCCCCCCCATCTTTGCACACGCTGCGGGATCGGGACCCGGGCTGGGGAGAGGGGGTGGGAGGTGGCGCACCCCCGGGTTCTCCATCACCCACCGCCCTGCGCGCGCCCCGCAGGAGACCTACAAACTGCCACACCGGCTCATCGAGAAAAAGAGACGTGACCGGATTAACGAGTGCATCGCCCAGCTGAAGGACCTCCTGCCCGAACATCTCAAACTTACAGTAAGTGAGAAGCTGGCGGGGCTCCAGCCCAGCTCCTCTCTGCCCACCGGGCGGGCGGGCGTGGGGGGGGCACCCGCCACCTGCAGGCACCTCGGGGAACTGCAGGCCAGACGGCCGGATCCGAGCTGCAGCCCTGGCCTGGCGGGTGCTAGTGAGAAGAGAGAGGAGATCTCTTCCCCAGTCCTGGAATTTTCTGGCAGTCCCCCCCTCCCCCTGCAAATAACTCTTGGATCTCTCCAAGTTCGCTCCAACACTAGTTGGGCTTTCTAATCAGGCGTTTGAGACTTTGGCCTCTGGGGTGATTTTTCAGGCTTATTGAGTCTTCCTGATGTAAAGGAGAGCAGGCTCTAGCAATGCAGAGTTTTTATGTTTAATGTATTTCTTTAGCTATCCCCACTTACTTAAATAAGAGAAGGTGACCCCCGCCTTTTTAGTAGTAAGCAGAAGCTTAACAGCCTATAGTCTGAGAAAGGAAGAATAATATTTGGGGGAAGGAGGAAAGTCTGCAGGAGCTGGAAGTTTTGAGTGTCAGGGGAAAAGAAAAAAAAAGGGGCAAAGGTTGGCAGAGGCAGTGGAAGTTCCTCCCTGGGTTGACACCGAAACGTTATCTCCAGACTCTCCAGGCTCCCGGGGAGTTAAGGTCATGGGCGGTTACTGAAGAATGATATCCGACAAAGCGCTGGCCTGGGCTGGTAGCAGCTTCCAAAGATAGATGACACGTGTCCTTTACTCTTTAATCATGTAGTAGATTTTTTTTTCTTTTTTTAGGGACATTTCTGATTGGTAAGAAATGTCCCAGAGGTAGAATTTCACTGATTTCTCCCCACTGATGAGAGTTGTGGTTTGTGTGTGTGTGTGTTGTTTTTAATTGTAGACTTTGGGTCACTTGGAAAAAGCAGTGGTTCTGGAACTTACCTTGAAGCACGTGAAAGCCCTAACAAACCTAATTGATCAGCAGCAGCAGAAAATTATTGCCCTGCAGAGCGGTTTACAAGCTGGTGAGTGCCCGAATTCCATTAGCATCTCCTTCCTGGGGAGCCTCTCTGTGCTCAGCATCTGTTGGAGGTTAGTTATATGCCTGCAGCCGATTGCTTCTGCATGGTCACTAGGGGAAGACTCGGTGCGTTGTTGCTGTTCTTGTTTTTTAATCTTTCCCAAAAGGTCAGACTTCCCATTTGGAATGCTGCTGCGTGCCACCTGGCATAACTACGTATCCGTCAAATGATAGAATGTTTCGGTGGCATTTTGGCTTTGAAGGCTCCCGGGTTCTGAGAGATTTCCCCAGTAGTCCCTCTGAATAGGCCAGGGCCCCTGTCATTTGCCTTGTGGCTGCTTTGCACTTGGCCTTCTTTTCCTCTGTCTCAGTGGAGACTTAAATCATAGCGATGCCTGTTTCTTTCCTTCCTGATCATTCTCTGTGAGGCGCAAGCCTATCTGCATGACTGCAGGAGTTTTTCCTACCTTGTAGTTTCCTGAATAGCCACTAGGTATCTGGACGAATTGCACAATCTTAACGAAACCACTGAAGTTTCCCAGTTCATCTCTACTGACGTCCAGAGAATGCAACTCACCTTGTGAGCTTCCAGGCCCACCCCTTCTAAATAACCCTGTACCACCTGAGGGAATTCTTGTACAATTCCCTCATCCATTCCTCTCTGAATTCCTTTCCAAGGCCATCAGGATGAGAGCCACAAAAACCCAGCACATTTATCTGCCCATTTTCTCACTAAAAATCAAAGGCCATCAGATTCCCCCCCCCCCTTAGGGATTGTGGATAGAGTACATGGCCTAATTAAAAGTTTACTTTTGTAAGTCCCTGAACATAAACTTGTGTTAGGTGATACTGTTCCTTCACTTCCTTTTTTTTTTAAGTGGCCTTACTCATTTTGCTAGTATGAGTCTAGTGTTCTCTGTCTTGTTTTGGCTTTTATAAAAAGATATTAGAATATCTTTTTAAAAAATCAGAAGCAAATTATAAACTGGACAAGAACAGAGCAGACCCACCTTGAGTAGGATGGGATATCATGCAGCCACTAAAAGTTGTCATTGGGGCTTAAGTGGCAGTGCATTTGCTCAACACATGTGAGACCCTGTGGTTTCAATCTCTAGCACCAAGACAGAGAAGGGACAAAAAGTCTCTGGAGTGGTGGGATAAAGATGATTTTCAGTGTCATTTGTGGAGTAAGAAATGTAAGTGACCAAATACTGCTTTAAAGTAATAACAATAATAAGGCCAGGAGCTGGTGGCTCACGCCTGTAATCCTAGCTCCTCAGGAGGCTGAGATCTGAGGATCGCAGTTCAAACCAGCCAGAGCAGGAAAGTCCATGAGACCTCCTAACGTACCACCAGAAAACCAGAAGGGGTGCTGTGGCTCAACGTGGTAGAGTAGTAGCCTAGAGTGAAAGAGCTCAGGGACAGCGCCCAGGCCCTGAGTTCAAGCCCCATGACTGGAAAATAATAAGAAGTCAAGTCGCAGGCCCACCCCGGGCCCTTCTGAAAAACATCTTCTCTTGGCCCGTGCATCTGCAGGTGAGCTGTCAGGAAGAAATGTGGAAGCAGGCCAAGAGATGTTCTGCTCGGGTTTCCAGACCTGTGCCCGGGAGGTGCTTCAGTACCTGGCCAAGCATGAGAACACTCGGGATCTGAAGTCCTCGCAGCTGGTGGCACACCTTCACCGCGTGGTCTCCGAGCTGCTGCAGGGGGGCACGGGTAGGAAACCATCAGACTCGGTCTCCAAAGCCATGGACTTGAAGGAGAAGTCCAGCTCCCTGGTCAGAGGCTCGGAAGGCCCCGGGAAAAACTGTGTGCCCGTCATCCAGCGGACTTTCGCTGCCTCGAGCGGCGAGCAGAGCGGCAGCGACACGGACACAGACAGTGGCTACGGAGGAGAATCTGAGAAAGGTGACCTGCGTGGGGAACAGCCCTACTTCAAAGGCGATCTGGGGCGCAGGTTCACCCTGGGAGAACGGGTCAGCACCATTAAGCAGGAATGCGAAGAGCCCCCCTCGAAGAAGAGCCGCATGCAGCTCCCCGAGGATGAAGGCCATTTCCCTACCAGCGACCTCATCAGCTCCCCTTTCCTGGGTCCACACCCACACCAGCCTCCCTTCTGCCTGCCCTTCTATCTGATCCCCCCATCAGCCACCGCCTATCTGCCCATGCTGGAGAAATGCTGGTACCCCACCTCAGTGCCCATCTTATACCCGGGCCTCAACACCTCTGCCGCTGCCCTCACCAGCTTCATGAACCCCGACAAGATCTCTGCCCCCCTGCTCATGCCTCAGAGACTCCCCTCCCCCTTGACAGCTCACCCCTCCCTCGACTCCTCTGCTTTGCTCCAGGCTCTGAAACAGATCCCCCCTTTAAACTTAGAAACCAAAGACTAAACTTGTAAGGGATCCTGCTACTTCGCTTTCCATCCTTCCTTCCTTCAAACACACACACACACACATGCATGCATGTGCACACGATGTGTGTGCAGTGAGATTGTTCCTTAGTGCATACTCAGATGCTTTGAGGTACAGAGAGGAGACTGAAAGGGCGTGTGTGTGTGTGTGCACGTGCACTCGTGCGTGTGTGTGTGTGAGTGTGCCCGTGCAGATACAGAGCGTGAAAGCTGCACATGGTCCAGGGGAAAACTTCCTCGTGTCAGCAGGAGATGCAGGGGGAAGGCTTTTTTTCTTCTTCCCAGAGAATAGACCACCCTCACTCCACCCTTTGATCCAAGTCAGCTGGATTTTCAAAAGCTTTCAAACTCAGTCTGTGAGTCACCCTTCAGTTGGGAAGTTGGGTCTGTGGCTTTGAGAGGGGGAAAAAAAGGTACTTTGAAAAAAAAAAAGGGCTTTCCAGAGCGCAGCTCCCAGCCAGCTGTTAGAACCCCACCCTGGCCCCTGTATTGTTTTATATGACTCACTAGACTGAGGGCAGAACTGTCAGACTGTACTTTCTGCTCTGAGAGGAGGTAGCAGACACTGGTCTGTCACAGTAGAGGTGGTCTGTCACAGTAGAGATGGCCCCAGGTCTGCTCCCATCCCCAGGCCTGGGTGAAGCAAGAAAGAGAATGCCATTTCCTTCTCAGGATTTCATAGTGATTACCTTACTAAGGAACTGAAAATAGCCCCTTTGTAGGAGCTGCGCTGACATGGAATGAGCGTGGAGTTCCCCAGGCTCTGGGCACCTGCTTCTAAAATCGCACAGTTAGTTAGGACATGCTGTCCAGGAAACCAAAAAAAAAGTCTGAGATGTGCAAATGCCCCCTAGCACCCAAAAGTGCACAGTTAAATAACCAGTTGCTACCTTTCTTGCATAGCTAGACTCAGTTTTAAATTCTAAAGCTTTTGAGCAAGCTTAGCCTAACGAAGCCTTGGCCGTGCTAGCTCCTTTCTGCAGGCTACAGCCTTGCGCCTAACAGCATATGGAGTGTCCTTAATTGCTAAATAGGATTCTCTGTCCTTCAAAGAAGTTTTATTTTTGCTCTAGTCCTTGTTTTTTGGACTTGTCCAGCCAGCTCTGCACCAGCTTTCCAAAAATGCACTATGCTTAATTGCTCATCGTGTTTTTAACTATTTCATTTTCCTGTCTTTATTTTTGGTAATAAAAGTCGTTGCCTTTATTTGTAAAGCTGTTATAAATATATATTATATAAATATATATATAAAAGGAAAGTGTTTCAGAGGTTTATTTGTACAATTACTTGAGCTACAAAGAGGAAAAAAATGAATGTATTCCTGTTTTTGAAGAGAAGAATTTTTTTTTCTCTAGGGAGAGGTACAGTGTTTATATTTTAGAACCTTCCTGAAGGTGTGACATTGTAAATATTTTTATCTATGAGTAAATGTTAAGTAGTTGTTTTAAAATACTTAATAAAATAATCCTTTTCCTGTGGAAGAGAAAAAAGATGGCCTCCTGAATTTTTTCCCCCAATAGCTGTGTTAATGTGGTGTCTATCCTTTTAGTTAGAAGGGTGAATTCATTTAGCTTTTCCTGTACCTTGCATTCAGCCAGAATAACTTAATGCAGTAAATGAATACTGATTCATTCTCTCAATACTTTTCTTTTTTGGCCAGCAATGTGCAGTAAACATACTTTTAAGCAAAAAGTACACCCCAACACACACACACACACTACACTGCTGTGTTCAAAGTCTTCAGAACTGAACAGAGAGCTAAAGTATGAAGTTGTGGGCTGGCATGCCTGCGGGTTAACCTACTGAGGAAAGATTTAATGGATTATTAAGCAATAATAATTGATGTAGAGGATAGCACCTCTTTTGCCAGGGCAGGCTAACTCCTTTGAATCTAGCAAATTCTAATGGATTTGCCATATCCTGTCTTATTGCTGCTGGAGGCAAGCAACGTTCCATAATTACTTTCTACATCCTTCCAGACTTCCTCTCCTTTGGGTATGTTTGTGTGTGAATGAGGATTGGTGTTCCTTAGTCAAGTGTTTTTATTTAAAATAAAATAAAATTTAAAAAGGAAATTCCGTGGGAGAAGTGGGAAATGATCCCTAGATGTAAGCATTCCTGTTCCTTGTTCTAGACATTTCCTGGTGGCCTGCCCTTGACAGGACATTCTTTAGCCCCCAGAGCATGGAATCTTCCAGAACTGTTCTGGCTGGCTGCAGCCCCTGCAGGGATGTCACTGTGGAGGATTCTCGTCCAGGTATGTTTGCATTCTGATGTCTCGTCTCGTGTGGAGGTGGCACGTGGCACAGGGAACGGCTGGGGATGGGAGGGAGAGGGGGAGGCCGCTTGGGTGGTCCGCCATCGCTCGCACACCTGTTTCTGACTAGGCCAAAATATGGCTTCTGAGCCCGTGGCCCTGGCCTTGCAGCAGGCAGATGGTAAATTCTGTCGGTCCCACCTTGCTTCCAGTTGCTGGGGAGTAGGCCCTTTGCAGATGGCCTGAGTAGCCAAGGCCCCTGAATTCTTCCACAAGTTGCCAGAACTTTCTGGCTAGATTTAATTTTTTTTTTTTTTTTTTTTTGGTGAAAGCCCAAACCAAGCCAAGTTTATCTTGGTTTCAGGCAACCCAGGGTGGAGTTGGCACGGCCTGCCCTCCTAAGCCCCGGGGATTTAAGGAGTCGCAGGAGACGGAGGCCGAGGTTGGAACACCTTGACCTGGGAAGAAAACCAAAAAAGAAAGAGGAAAATTTCAGAGCGGCCCAGTCCACCTAGCACCCCGACCCCCCATGCTCGCTCCGGCCCGCACCCCCCCCC